AAACTGTTGTCTTTTGATCCCAGGTGTGGGACTTGGCCGAAGGTAAGATGCTGGCCGAACTGACTGGGCACACAGCTCCGGTGACGTGCATAGCCTATCATCCCACCGTTCTCCTCCTGGCTACGGCGTCGGCCGACCGGACAGTTCGCATATTCGATCTCGAGAATTTTACGCAGGTTTCGGTTAGCGGTGTTGAGTTGGCTGCTTCTGCTGTTCGACGCCTGGCTTTCCATCCGGAGGGTGTCTGTCTCTACGTCGCAACAACCGAACACCTGAAGGTACGCACCTGCACGCTGTTTCGACATTCCACACGTCCCACCCTTCTCTGAACCTTTTGTTTTTTTTCACCGTTACCTGCCGTATGTTGATACATTTCGTTATCTGTGGGTAAATCTTCATGTTTTCTGACACATACAGAAGAAGGACAACTGATCTTAGAGCTGTTTCGTTAGCTTGACGCCCTGAACATAGGGCAGGGTCTATTATGGAAACAGTGTACCTGCGCCGCACCGAACTTTATTATCATCTGATGTCTCAGTTAAGCTCCTTGTCACTCTTGCTAATCTCCTGGTTCCCATGGAGACCGAGCGCATGACTGCACTCTTCCTATCGACACCATTCGCGTTGACCGTCTTGCCCTATATGCCACACCGTGATGATGCAATAACGTCTGCGATGGGAGGTATGTGACCGTTCTTCTGCAAATAAAGTGCTTTCGCATGAAAAGTCCGCGATTCCCAGTTTAGCAGTTAAATTTTAGACTAATAGTAGTAATGGGCGTAGCTGACTTGCCATACTTCCATCACGTGTATTAACTAAAAGCCCAGACACGTATTTCACCGATGTTGCGTCACTGCACGGTACAGCTATGAGCGGTTCGTTCGTCAGTTGGTACCCAGCGTTCTCCTTGTGTTTTCTAGCATATATTTCAATTTATGATGCAAGCGTTCAGAATTTTTTATAAATTAATAACATGCAAGCTTTGAATAAATGCCTCAGTACTAACTCTCAGGTTTGAACTGAAGTTCATCAGTTTTAGCCGAATATCCGCTTGATATTCGCAGTAATCTACCAAAACTGACTGATTTACCATACGGCATGTGGAGCAGTTAAAAGCGCAAAAACGTATTTGTACCGCTCAATGACGCAGCCGGCAATCAGGGGTTCGGTTAATTGCAGTTCATAAGCGCCGCGGAATTTGTTTATCCCAATAAATTCTGCTGTGTATGCCCATTTCAAATTCATACCAGGGAAATATTGCTTCAAATTTCGCATTTAACTTTCTTTAAGCTCTAAGCAAATTCCTAAAAGTCAAACACGGGAATAACCTGCGTGACCTCTAGCATTGTTTTCAAAGGGCCGTAGCCTAAAGTATCCTGGTCCCTTGCTCTGTAAGATGAATTTTCTCTGTAAACTTACATTTGCTGACTACTGCTGCTGCTACGTCAGTGAAGCATCCGAGTCTACTAAGACTGAGGCTGAAATGTGCTCATTGAAGACCGCGAAAGTGTGTGAAGGTCATTTCAACACAGATACTGAGACACACGGTAGACTTCTCCAGTCCTACGATTGCCTGAGGAAAGAAGCGGATA